GATTCAAGGAGGAAGGATAAGAAGTCTACATTACCTATGACACCGGATGCTCAGATGATTACTCTCTACTTCGATGATCAAGCTACTGTTACTATCCGTGGATCTGGTACTGAACCCAAGGTAAAGTACTACTGTGAGGCTAACGATAAGGAGAGTATGGAGAAGGCTCAGGAGAAGCTCGAAGTCGTCGTTAAAAATGTCATCGACTACTTCCTCCAACCCAAAAAGTACAATTTGGGTTCTCGGTAAGGCAATTGTTGATTCATCGTTCTGATTCCAGAGAACTCTGGGCTACGATCAGACGGTGTTTCGTCATAGGACCATTCGTCAGGATCCATTCTTCCTCTGGATCCGAACTTAATATGCGATACATTGTATCATAGAATTTTTCTGAGAATCATCGGTGTTGTTTTCAATAGTTATTCGTTACCGCGGTCTCTCTTAAGAGCACTAACGACCTACATCGAACTTAGACCTCGTTGAGACCTCAGTGAGTTTCTGAGATCCGGGCTCGATGGGCAGTCCGATTGCATGGCAGAGCCCAGATGAGGTGCTCTGAATGTGAAAACGGTTTTTTTATTCGGGTCTTCTCCCCAGGGAGAACTCTTCCAGGAAAATGGAGCAGGTATATCGCACTGAGGCTTCAACTCAACTCATTCGCGGGGTTTGCCATTGATGAGGAACAGGTTGAGTCTTGCGGTGGGCCATCAAGCTCGATTTGAAGATGAACTAGAGCTCAACACAATGCAATAGAGGATACATTCACCCTGAATCATTATGATCTAATCATAACAATGAGCTAGTGGGTACATCACTGCACATTTTATGTTAATTCTCGTAACGAACAGTGGAATGCGGGGCTGTGATTAGATCAGAGTAGGATGCAATATGGTGGAGACTTCGGGACCAACTTCGACCGACTCGGCTAGAAAAAAAGGACGCTTTTCTCAAAGTTGGGATGACATTATCAAGGGGGATCTAACTCGAAACTGGCCTAAAGCGCCTCATACCGAATCCGCGCCGGACTAGCCGCTGTATAGGCCGTTGGTCAAAGACCTTCCTCCGCCTTCTTCCGGCGCCTCTTCCTCTCTTAGTCAACCTCAACCATTGTAGGGGGTATTATGCATTAGGATGGTAGGTGGACACGTATTCTTGCTGATAAGAACGCTGCCGAGCTTATACACAGTGGTAGCTTTGCGGAGTAGAGGTCTTCGTCCCGATTTCGTCGAGTCGACTATCTTCGTAACTCTTATCATGTGTTAGGAGTTGAACATGCGATACTTCCATTTTCAACCCCCCATTCAGCTTCGCACGTCACCACTACTGCTGTAGTTGGATGTCGAGGCCTGCAATTCGGCTGGTTGAGGCTGTTGATAAGAGTTTCATTCGCAGCTTCATAGTCTACCATATCAGATGTGTATAAGTCTGTCCCCACCAAGGAAGAACGAAAGCACGCTCAAGTGAGCGAATCACGTTACACACTCTACATAGGGCATATTCTTGAGAGCGAGTCGAATGGCCGAAGTGGAGTTAGAGGTGCGAGCATAGTAAAGACCTAGACACTCCGGTGAGATGATCCGAGCTCGCATTCCAACCAACCAACACACAACGGCACTGCGGTCGGTTTGCCCGCGCCAACATCTGTTTAGAATCTGTGGCTGTCGGTGAGTGTGTGTTTTCTCCCATCGAGAATGGACTATAATAGTACACGATCGATTCAAATGTATACTTCAGAGGATGGTTCCTTTCAACCCCAATACAACAGGAGTTGGGACAAGACTTGTGTTGACGCAGTGTCGACTGAAATGGGACAAGTTGCTCCTCGCTCAAGTGCTAGTAAAAGCCAAGCATTCATTAAGGGTGTTGTAGTCAGTGGGGTTTATGTAGTCGGATCCGAGTGAGTCAATGGTACCGACAATGGTTGTCTTCTCAGTTAAGTTTTTAGTTTCTGTCTATTATGTCAAGCGCAGTTGAGAATTGGCTTTCTCTCGATTTCGATAAGAACACCCGTAAGGAAGCCCAAGAGCTTACTCCTGAGGAGATCGAAGATCGCCTCAATCCTAATCATCGTATGGAATTTGGTACCGCTGGTCTTCGTGGCGAGATGGGAGCTGGCTTCAACCGTATCAATTGTTTGACTGTGATGCAAGCTGCTCAAGGACTATGTATGCAATTGATCGAGAGGTTTGGTGGAGATGTTCTCTCCCAGAGAGGTGTCGTCTTTGGTTATGATGGACGTCATAATTCTCGTCAATTCGCTCATGTTGCCTCGGCTGTCTTCATCACGAAAGGTGCTAAAGTCTACCTCATCGACAAGACCAGTGTTACTCCTTCCAATCCATTCTTGATTGTTCATTTCCATGCTCTAGCTGGTGGTCAGATGACAGCCTCCCACAACCCGAAGCAGTACAATGGTTTCAAAGTATACGGCGATAACGGTGCTCAAATTATCCCTCCAGTTGATGCCGAGATCGAGGCTAAGATTGCTGAGAATTTGGTCCCATGGAAAGATGCTTTGGAGTTGTTGGATTTGGATACCTGTTTATTAAAGGACAAGTCCAAGACCATCGATCCTTACAATGATGCCTTGTACACCTACATCGATCAGATGTATCACGAGCTGTGCCGATTCCCTGACCTCAACAAGGACTGCAACTTACAGTTCGTCTACACGGCTATGCAAGGTGTCGGTCTTCCATTCGCTACCGGTTTGATGGACAAGTTTGGCTTCCCCAAGAAGTGTGTGTCGATCGTGGAAGCGCAGGCTCACCCTGATCCTGAGTTCTCCACTGTCGCCTTCCCCAACCCCGAAGAGAAGGGTGCACTCGACATGAGCAAGCAACAAGCAATTGATGAGGATGCCGATTATGTATTGGCAAATGATCCCGATGCTGATCGTTTTACTTCTTGCGAAAAGCAGAAGGACGGTTCATGGCATCAATTCACTGGTGATGAGCTTGGTACCGTCTTTGGAGATTGGCAACTGTTGATGGCTCATCGTCGTGGTGTCGACCCGAAGAATTGTCTGGTCATCAATTCCACGGTATCGTCTAAGATGCTGAAGGCGTTATCTGATTACTACGGTGGAGTGTATGAGGATACTCTAACAGGTTTCAAATGGATGGCTAACAAGTCATTGGAGATGACCGCTGAACACTCCAATTTGGTACACTGTACGGCTTATGAGGAGGCACTAGGAAGTGCCCTCACGATGAGTGTCCCTGATAAGGATGGTATCAGTGCTTGCAGTGTCTGGTGTGAGATGGCTAACTATTGGCGTAAGGAGAAAGGTATCACTCTTCTTGAACGACTAAATGAACTCCGTAAGATGGTCGGTTTCTTCGCCCAACACAACGGTTACTTCATCTGTGATGATCCTAAGGTTATGAAACAGATGTTTGATGAGTTCCGTAATGAGGGTAACTACAAGACCGAGCTCGGGTCATCTAAGATAGCTGATGTTCGTGATGTTACTCTTGGTTATGATTCAAGGAGGAAGGATAAGAAGTCTACCTTACCTATGACACCGGATGCTCAGATGATTACTCTCTACTTCGATGATCAAGCTACTGTTACTATCCGTGGATCTGGTACTGAACCCAAGGTGAAGTACTACTGTGAGGCTAACGATAAGGAGAGTATGGAGAAGGCTCAGGAGAAGCTCGAAGTCGTCGTTAAAAATGTCATCGACTACTTCCTCCAACCCAAGAAGTACAATTTGGGTTCTCGATAAGGCAATTGTTGATTCATCGTTCTGATTCCAGAGAACTCTGGGCTACGATCAGACGGTGTTTCGTCATAGGACCATTCATCAGGATCCATTCTTCTTCTGGATCCGAACTTAATATGCGATACATTGTATCGTGGAATATTTCTGAGAATCATCGGTGTTGTTTTGAATAGTTATTCGCTTAGGGTGGGGTGGTAGAATGATGCGATGTGGAAGCTTCAATGAAATGTCATGGGATAAAAACGGCTGAACGAGGATGCTTCCAGCGATTTAGGTGGGACATGGTACATAATTTGGCTCAAGGCGACAGTTATTCCTAGATAGTTTCCATCTGAAATTTACTGACGAAATTAACCAGAGGGTAAGGATAGTTTGAGGTGATCTATGAGTTCTTTCGACTTACTATAAGTGTTCAAGGATCACCATTGAGACGAACAGTGGTTATACTAGCTCGAACGATCTACCATTTGTGAACTGTTATCACTCAACATAGGTGGTCAAGTACAACTTACTATGTGCACACCTGCTACATGAGATCTCCACAACTTAGCCCTAGGGTGCTGATCGTACCGTCAGCAAAGTACCACTATCGGCTGGTTCAGCACACTCTCTCGCTGAGTCAATGTCGCCACCGAAGTCTGTCATTGTGAGGTCCTCAGCAGTAGATTCGTCACTTCTCTTAGGGCCTTTGAGATTCACCTTATAACCGCCACCCAGGACGCCCAGGGCGTCAGTCAAATCTGGGTTTTCTTGTTCTGTCGTAGACGGTGGCGAAGTGCTGTAGGTGAGAACATGTTGGTGTAAATCATCCAAGACTCCAACTCCCAACACCAGAGGCTCAATGACACCTCGAACGTAATGCTCTTGTAGCGGTCTGGTATGCTTGAAAGAGGACAGCGTGGATTTATCCGAAAACTTCAGTCCGAGGGCGTGCTGCACCAGTATATCCCTCGTGAGGCGACCAGAGCCGTACAATCTGGAGGTGTGAGCTCAGCTTAGTTGACCGAGAACAGTCACCCACATTATTTTCCGGGCTACTTCAGCGATTTCTTCAGCTGACTGCCGATACGCTGTTCGGATGCCCAATTGCTGCTCTCGCCTACCCGGCCACTTGACGCCTGAAGGAGTAGAGGAGCTGTTGGGAGGGAGAGAGGGAGGACGTTTACTGAGGATTCCATTGAGGAAATTCACGAAATCATTCACGAGGCGTCTGCCATCTAAGCCCCAGTCAGATGGTAGCGGCGAGAGGTCCCAAGCAGAATCCTGAGATTCAAACAGGATGAAAGGCGAGCAGCAACATTATGCTGACATTCATGTGAATAAGTTGGGCATGTTGATATTGTAGAAGGTTGAACTTCAACCAATTGATGAGCTCTTCCGCGAAGTCTCCCATATCTCCTCCATCAGCTGTGCCTGTAGAGCTGCCAGAGTCCGATTCGGTCCGGCCCGCCATCACCGCGGCAGCAGCAGCCGCCTTGGCCTGCAACTGAGCAACATCAACCTGAAGAATACCTCAGTGTGAATATCATTCAATGAAGTGTGAACTATGACTTGGAGTGAAGCGAGGCATTGAGTAGAGCGGAAACTGCCAACGGTCTGCGCCTCCCGAGAGGTCGATTCGTGCCGGATTTGTGTGTGTTTATCTTCACGACCTGAGTCCATCCTCACCAGCCAGGTGCGCCCTCATCCCACCTGCAGTATGAGAATCCTCTGATGCCTCGCTATGTTCGCCTGGCAAATGATGCGCTCCTTCATGGCCCGCTTGGGCCGTAGCCGCAGCAGCTTCCGTCGTGGTAACCACGGTCGCATGGGGAGCCGGAGCCATGACCGTAGCAGCTTCCATTGTGGTGATCGGCATGCTCGTGGAAGCGTCCTCATCCACGGTCCTGTAAGGGGCCCCGGCCATGGTCGTATGAGGAGCCCCGATCATGGCCGTATGAGGAGCCCCGACCATGGTCGTATGAGGAGCCCCGATCATGATCGTATGAGGAGCCCCAGCCATGGTCGTATGAGGAGCCCCGGCCATGATTGTATCAGCAGCTAAGGTCATCGCCGTATCAGGGGCCCCGGTCATAGCCATATAAGGAACCTCAGTTTGGCTCGCTGCATCGATCTGTTCGACGGATTGGGTTTGTGAACGGCGTTTATGGTCGCTTTTCCTTTTCTCCTTCCCTGCTGGATTAACAGAGGCCCTGCTGCTCATCGATTGGAATCTTGCCTTCATAGTGGGGACATCGATTGCAGCAGGGTCATGAGCAGCGCTGACAATATACCTCCAATCCTCACAAGGCAAACCAGGGTCCTACCTCAGTGTAGTCGACTGCTGTTGAGCTAAAATCGTGGTAGCTTTCTTAGTCCTGGCAATAGCATCAGCGCGCATCTAAACGACCGAAGCTGCTCATGTACGAATGGGGAATGGCGAGCTCACTTGATCAGCCCAGCCCCCTTGTTGCTGGTGCTCATCCTGATTGGCAAGCTCATCCGCACCAGAAGTGCCCACCCGTCCAGAACCCGTACGAACATAGGAGGCCAACTCGTGTTGTTGCCCCTGTTGTGCGGTCGTGGACTGACTAATGTACGATGGATCGTCTCCGGATTCACTGGGCCTGGAGATGGTAGTGTAGGGAATGGCTGACAGTCACAAGACTTACTGTGCCCCAGGCATTCTCGATGGCAATAGCAAGCTCTCCATATATGCTGTATTCCTCTGTCTTCTACCCACCTCCAACTTCTCCATATGTGGTCCCTTCGGGGCCTAAAGCCATGATGGCCCTCCCAGAGTGAGCTCCAACAGGTATGCTGGAAAATCAGTCACTTGAACTTCCAACATTCTTCGACCAGTTTCCAATGTAAATGTCATTACACTCTTATCAGACCCTGGGGAACGTTACTCCACAAAGCTCGATGATTCGCCACACCTCAACCACGTATCAGATGCACAGCTTTCTACTATGGATTAGCTCTCCTTCAATCGTATGCGACTCACCTTGCCATCAGAGCGAGCTCCTCCCTCTTGTGTCTGAGGACTACGACTGTCTCCAGCCGGGATTCCCACATCGGCATCAACAGCATCCTGGCAATGACCATACCTCATGAGGGACTCGTTGTAGCAGCACCCACCGGCATGCTTCCTTGTGGGCGACTGACCATTCGCTTCTCATCACGATCAGGAGCTGGCCTATCAGTAACCTCGCCCACAGCTGATTCACTCTCGGCCTGCTGGAAATATCAATGATAATCAGTCAACAACGGAGTACCGCAGCTCCTACAGCTTGGACGAACCTCCTTGTTCGCCAATTCCCTCTACTCCTCGATCTACCCCCGGCATCCTCACCAGCCTCCTCAGCTCGGGCCCCTTCCTGTCCCCTGTGTTGCGATGCTGGGGCCTCCTCGGGTGCTGGCATAGGGCGAGTAGAGGAGTTCGGCGCCGGTACACTTCTATGGGTCTCTGGACTCCCTTCAATTTCACGCCTCGTCTCCATCCTACGACTGTCGGCGTGTGCCTAATCGCCCAATCTCAGGTGAATCCATAACAACAGTCGTCTTCTCACTCGTGCCTGGTCCTCCTGAGCTCCACGACTCGGCAGTGATACTCCTTGCTGCTTCGAAGATGAACTCAGAGGTCTCCTCTCGGCTGGATCTGATCACAATGAGATACCCCCATCACGAATCAACTTTCCTTGAACTCACCTGCTGCTGAGATCGACTGACCAGGCCCTGTACCTCCTGATCCCCTCACTGGAGGTGGTTGTGGCCGCAGAGACGATTGAGTGCGGTCCTCTTCCTCTTCACCACTTGAGCCTGTTCCTGCTATCTTCACATTTCTTCGTACGTGAGTCAATGCTGGTACGGGCCTGAACGCAGCCTCGAGCTAACACATCTAGACGCGGCAAGCCAGAGGAGACCAGGAGGACCCTTCAGAATGATCCACCGTTACCTCCTCCCCTTTGATTCCGGTAACCTCCGCTGTTGACCTTGGCCTTCTAGATCCTCGTCAGGTAGGATCCTGAATAGCATCATACCACTCACTTAACAAATGAGGACTTCACTACTTTTGGAAAGAGGTCTTTCTCGATGTAACAGGGAGAGACGATTGGCCATGTGAGGCATGTCCAGATGCCGGCTGCCTCCTCCCTCGTCCCTTCTTCAACGACTCCCCCTTGCCTTCTGTTCGTGGCCTACGATAGGACATATCCTACTGGACGGTCAACGAGCTGATGCCCACTCTATTTCATCGTCAGGCTCGTTTATTTGGCGAACCATCTTCTCCATCCTCTCCTCCCACTCCTCTGTGCCTTTGGACTCTACTGATATCGCCGCTCCGGTTCCCATCTGGACTGGTCGTGGCCTACACACCCAGATGCACAGTTGTGGTGATGATGCTCCTGTGCACTCAGCTCTGGCTATCGCCTTTCACATCTTAACGAGAACTATTGCTTTAATGCTGTTATGCTAATACGACGAATCCCTCCAGTAAAGTGCACGGTTACCAAGGATTGTCAACAGCAGTCAATAATGATACCCACCATTCTTGTTCAATCCTGGGCTCCTTGAATTGCTCAGCCGTCTCCCACCTTTCCCTCGAGGGCATGGAGGTCGTGGCCGTAATGAGTGGCGGTCTTCGGAGACTATCCGAACCTTCGCTGGAGTCGTCCCTGATGAGTGCCAGTGCTGGCTGACAGCTATGATGAGTGTTTACCCTCTTAAGGCCTCTTGCTGTAGCCTCTCGAACTCCATCAGCATCTTAGAGTCCCGCCGCTGGTCACCGCTCCCACGACGCTTTCCCGCATCAACAGACTTCCTCTGTTGCTCTCGAGCTCCTGCGTCCTCCCTGATCATCATCTTTGGAGACGGCTTTACTCCCAAATAGTTCTCACCAGAATGCATGCTTCGGTCCAGACTTGAGTCCTCGCATTAGCTTGGTGACTCTTCTCACTGCGGCGTCTGTGACCTACGACCAGCACTGATCAAACCCTTCCTAGAAAGGCCCCTACCAGTGGGGCATCACGTTTAGACGTATGTGCCATGGCTCGGTCGTAAGGGTCCTCCTCTTCTTCCGAAGATGAGTCACTTGAGGAGGCCGAGGACGAGGAGGAGGATGCTGTGAAGGCTAGCCTCTGCCAGAGTACAGAAAATTCCAAGGCCCGCCTGAGACTGCCTTACCCCGATCTTCTCTCCGTATTTTGCTACCCGGTCTTGTTCGAGTACAGTAAGCACCTAAGCTGAGGATAATGCCTCTACCTCCCGGCATGCACTCACCTCAGCCTTGAGCTCCTCGTGCCACCTTTTGTTATCATCATCATCACCGATCTCGCTCCCAGTAGCAGCAGCAAGAGCAGCGTCAATGCCAGCGATGACCTGTCCACCAACCATAGAGCAACATGACCTAGCAGCACGTGAGCATACGGCCTGGTCCTCTTCAAGGGTAGCAGCAAAGTCAAAGTCGGCCCAGCCGTAATCATCTTCGGTCTTGAGCGCCTTTCCTGTCATATCGCGACTATTATTCGATATCTCACATGCTCTCCTCCTCGTCACCTATTTTTCTAATAGAATGCCTTTTATTGGCCAGCTGAGTGGCCTCTTTCTCCACCTCATCCGACAGCTCTATCATACGCTTCCTCGCCATAACAGCACGCCTGATAATAGACTCACATCAGCTACCCTCGGGGGATGGGGACTCACTCAGCGACTATAAGAGAGAACTCCTCATCGGCCTGCATGGCTTCCACCACTGCCTTTTTCGCTGCCTGCTCTTGTTCCTCATCTGTGCCTTGGAGTCCCCGCCCACCGGCCTGTCGAGTCATGGCGACCGTCCCTCCATTAGAGCGCAATGACTTCCTACTCGTGAGCGAAGTTCCAAATCGTAAGCATTCTTATAAATCAAACGAGAGTCGTTGGCGTTAATCCAAGCCTCTCTGATCTTCCTCAGCTCGTAGTCTTTCAGTTCGATATCAAACCTCATGCCCTCCATCTTCACCTCGAGTGACCTACGAAAACACCCTCGCGGAGGGGACATAGCCAACCATGAGGGGACTTACTTCTGTTGGTCCTTTAAGAACTGCACTTCCATACTGTCCATCCTCTTCACCGCATGCTGCCGCGACTCAATTCTCTCGTGCGCATCCTGGTAGCATTCCAGTTCCAACGGAACTCAACACGAGTGATTACTCCTTGAGCCCTCATCGTTGTCTGCCAAGTGATTGCTCTCGCCTGCACATAGTCCGTAAGCCGACCGTATTTGCTACCGAAGTCAGCACGGTTGAAGAACACCTTCGCAGAAAATCAACCGCACTGCAGTTGCTCGGGAGTCTTACATCCTTCTCCTCCTCTTCCTCTCCCTCAGATGAGCTCGGCTCTGACATCGTCTGCAGATTACTTCTCATCCGACCGTCGTTGCGAGGCACTGACCAAACGTGAGTGGCAATGCTTCTTAGGGTGGAGTCCTCATAGAACCTTACTTTTCCTCAATCGACCCGTTCGTGTCCTGTTGAATCTCGACTCAGCCAGGTTCTTGTCCATAACCTCCTCCAGCTCTCGAGCGCCATGAATCTTATACACGATTATAAAGGGTTCACTGTAGGACGACACCCTCACGTACTGAATGAGTCCTTATCTGTGATCGCCATACGATACCTCTCTCTCGCTTCAACCTGGCATTGTAAGACGTAGCACTCTGAACCTGAACAGCAGTCGCAGAGTAATTAGACCTGACGATAATAGGCACCGACCTCAAGTTCTTGGAACTTCTTCATCCAGCGGGCCTCGGTGCTCCTCTTGATCTTATCCTCCAATCTAGAGCTTATCCGTGCTGCTACCTCGGATACATTCAGACCGGAAGTAAAGATGTCCTGTAATTGGAACTGAAGAGGGAGACAATGTGGGATTATATGCAAATGGTCGACTTAGAATGTAATTTAGGTAAATTTGTAGTCAAGTCGTGTGTGAAATTTCATATACTGTAACTGGTGAGGAAATTCATATATTCGAAAACTGAATTACGTAAGTCAGCTGAGAGTAAGGATTAGCCGTTTCCGCTCCCGACGAGGGTTGGGGCTCACCTCGTCCACGATTTCAGGCAGGCCCAGCAAGGAACACATATTCCTCAATAACTCTATCTGCTGGCCGACCGGGTGCCGCACACCAGACGCTGGTTCATCAACAGCACCTAGATTATACATTCTGAGATGTCAGCAGTATCGACAGAATGAAGAGGACCGACTCGTATGAGCTCTCATCAATGCTTTCTCTCTGCCCATCACTTTCATCTTAGGCTTGGCTTGCTCATGGGCTTGTCGAAGCTGCGTCCGGGTCTGAATGCAATAACACTGAGTAATAACAAAAGAACAGCAACGACAACAACAACAGCTACAACCACAACAACCACAAAAACAACAACAACAACTACAACAACAACAACAACTACTACAACAACGACTACAACAACAACTACGACAACAACAACAACAACAACTACAACAACTACAACAACTACAACAACTACAACTACAACAACAGCAACAACAACAAGAACAATAACTACAAGAAGAAGAAGCCTACGTGTTTCAGTGAGTTTGCCAGCTCTTTCCGTTCGCTCTTCAACTCACCTAACCGTTGCCTGAGACCATCCCCATCCCCTTCTTGAAACCATAGCCACATTGCTTACTCTTGAGAGCCCATCTTATCGTGAAGCCTCTGAATCTCGTTCTCCTGGTAACTAATCCTCCTATCTCGCTCAGCTAGCATAGTCTTCCTCCTCGCCGAGTCAATTGCATACCTAATTACGTCCGATTCACGATCAGAATCCACCCGAGGCGGCCACCTAGAGCGTTCCTGCTCATGTATTTCCTCCGCTCGAGCCTTCTCAGCAGCAGCCTCGGCCTTTTTCTTTTTCTGCTCGGCTTCAGCTCGACTCTGTTCCTTTTCCTTCATCTGATACTTCAGCATGTTCAGTTGCTCTGTACGCGCCTCAAGCTCAGCCTGATCAGCATAGTCGGGGAGGAGTAGCTCCCCCGATGGCGATACCTCCACTTTGACGAGTCTAGCCGCCGCCTCATCCCTTCCGGTCACCGCCTCGTCTTGTGTCTTGCCTTGTTCTGCCAGTCGTCGTTGTAGCACCTGACTCACACCTCATACACTGTAAGGATTCCTCGATGTTCACCTGGTTGGCAGTAGTGAGCACTGAGACTTCCTGTTTTAGCTCATCAGCCTTGGTGAAGCTCATAGGCTTCGGCTTCACACCAGTAGCCGTCGCACATGCCTCATCCTCCATATCGATCTCCTGCGAAATGGACAATATCATACACTTGGAATTTCAGCACAGGTCCTCTGATCACCTCAAGGAGTGACTTGAACTCATCTGCGCATTCGGCGAGTATCCTTTCTACTATGGCGAAGTTGGAATTGGGATCATCTGAGACCGACTTGAATACTGCGGCTCGAAGTGAGACCCCTCATCAACAACCGTAAGAAGGGGCAGCTTCGTGTGAACTCTGGCTTACGTTTATGCTGGCTCATCCGGCTGCTTGTCCGACGATTGCGGTTCCCTCCAGTTACCGAGATGCTTCGACGCTAAGTTGGGAAAGTTACGGTATGCGACTTTCCCGAATAACCGCTTACCGAGCTCGCTGGAATGAGGGCTTTGCTATTTTTCTCTACTAAGGCGATTCCCTGCATGAGCCTCGTTTTTGACTGAGCCACGAGATCAGCATATCTGCGGCTATGAATTCAACAACACGAAGTTGGCCATCAACTTCAACTACAGTCTGGATTGACGTTTGAGCTTCTGGAAAGCTGCTTGGACCTGCACATGCTTACTGATGAAGGGGAAATGCCCGGAGACAGCCCACTTACGTTATTGAGCTCACTGCGGCTAACAGCGACGAGCTCCTCATCTTGCGTACTCATACTTTCCACTAACGTTCTGAAGGAGAAATCATAGCTTTCATTTATTCATTTCATGTTACTCTGGAGCTGCCGCGGGGTTCACAGAAGCCGCATTGCCGTTATCTTTGGAATCACCAAGCATGCCCTGGAGGGAGATAACACCTGGTAGAAGATAATGCCAAGATAACTACTAATATTGACTTCACCTCTAGTGAGACCACCAGCATTGCCTCCGCCCTGGCCTCCCCCCAGCTGCTCGATTTGCGTCTCTAGATGCTTTATTTTCATATTCAGTATATCGTTCTTGTCACTGAGCTCCTCAGCCCTGGTTCGGTATGCTGATATAAAGAGCGGCTATAGGGAAGTCTCAATGACGAAGTCCATTCATCACTATGTTCGAGAATGAGGATAACACGGCATGCACGGTGAACTTACTGCGGTTTTCCAAGAGAAGTGTTTTCACTTTCATTTCAAAGCGGCCCCTCTCAACACCGAAAAGGGCCTTCATCTCCTCTTCCTTCTGTCGTAGCTGTTGCCTAATCTCCTCTTCCATGTAGATATCCCCCACGAAAATATTCACCTATAGCGAAATCGCTTCACCCTTGGGTGCTCAGACCAAAACGTACGTCAGTATCCGATTTGGAAACTTTGCTGATCAGATCCTCTACTTCTCGCGTGCTTTTTAATAGTCTTTGAGCACTGGTGCTTGAACCTGAACATTCGCATTGTCACCAGCTCGAGTATTCAGCATTTACTCTCTCTAAAGCGCAAATGGTCCTCAACTTCAATAACGAGGCCTTTCAGCTTAGACCGCATCAGATGCATATCTCGCTGATACGACATCCGGAGGTGCCTACCGTAAATCGGCCAATTTCTGTCACCGTCACAACCAACATTGTAGATGCTCACCGAAAGCTAAGGGCCTGATTCGTTAGTCGCCATAGTGCATCTTCCAGCTTGCCCTGTAGTGTTTCGTGACTCCGTACACATGTGTCTAACTGAACCGATAGCAGTCTGGACTTGAACACTTCTGTTTCCAGGTTGGTGCCAGCAGGTGGAAGAGTGTCAAAGGCCCTGTCAATGATAACCTATAGGAGGAACCATCGCAGAGATCTTGCGTACTATCCGGTTTACCTTGGAGTAGTCTTCTAGTCTCCCCAGCATCGAAGCAAGGGCAGCCCTGATACTCTTCACAACAGCTTGCTCTACCTCTGGATTATCACCCAGGTTGTTCAGAGCAGTACTGTATACTGTGTACCTTGGTCAACTACACCTGCTGTCGGCGCTATGTAGGGATCGCCTCACTTGAGTAGTCGATTGAGCTCGTCCTTACAAAGCGCTGACAGATCTGTAAAGTGCTGCTTCAAGTCACCATGAAACATTCTGTCGGCCGGCAGGCCCGGGCCATAGCGGTCAAGCATCTGGAAACGACTCCATCCCCAGTTTTCCAGAGTTCGGGGAAGCACCCACCAGGTCCGTTTCAATCGTCTCTTTAGCAGCCACCTTCTCCTTAGTAGCCGTCCACATCCTCTCAGTGGGGTCCACCGGGCTGAGGAAGAACCTTTTCTCTTTGCTGACCAATTCAACCCTACGGTGCTAACGGTGGTGGCGGTAAAGGCAGTCGGAACTTCTCATCAGTATAACGAATTTCGATGCCAGCACTGCGACTTGCCATTCTTGCTACCTACAAACCGAGGAGGCCACTGCCGTATTGAAAAAGAAGAGGTTGGATGAGGGGAACTATGCAAGAAAGTAGAAATTGGGCTTACCGTAGCAGAAATTTATCACGAAAAATTACGAAATTTATGAGAAATTCATACAAAATTTCCTACTCACACGACCACTAGTGTTCTTCATATCACGGATGAAACTTTCATTCCTCCCGAATAAGCGTCTTTCAATAGCGCATACATCCCGGGGGTCTCACTTGGCACTTGCCGTCATCTAGCTCTCTTATGCTCTTCTCTGTCGGGCCTTGTATCGAATACGCTGCGTGTTTCATAGCCATACTGAGAGCCACGACAATGATATGATACTGTGGGCAGTCCCACGACGTACTTCCTCGCAGCAGTGCTGCTAGCGTACACTGCAGCCTCCACGTTGAACATTCTTGGGGTAGGAGGCCTAGGAGTGATAGTCACAGGCCGTGGAGGTCTTCGCTCTGTAGAGAGCCTTCGGGCTTGCTGTCGTTGAGTTATTCTTTTATCCGTACCCATTATCGAAATTCTTCATAACATAACGGAACTATCAATCAGGGTATGGCAGTTGCAACTAGGGCTTTTCTTTCTTTTGTCTTCTCTATCCTATTTTCAACACCAACAACAACAACAACAGCAGCAGCAGCAGCAACCCTCTCCTTTATCTTCACATGAGATCAGCGCACTTGACCACAGCCACACCGCATCGATAGCTCTATCCTATTGACAACTCAATACAGTGACGAAGATAACATCCACATCAGGCAAGGGGCACATGGAAGGTGAGTACTGATAACAACCAAAAGAAGCTAAGTGCAAGAGCTTCTACTATCATATCATATTTGCTTGCTGTGGCCCACGCCGACGCGAACACGTAAGGCCTGCCGGTTTTTCACCAGTCGTCGGCGCCACTTATCGGCGAACATTCTGATAGAAACAATGCTTGAGGACTTCCTCCCAGGTGGGCATGCGTGCTACGACTCACTCTAGAAGATCTTCGCCACAGCCACAGTCAACACAGATAAGCATTGAGAAAAACAAAATTATAGTTATGCCAATTAACGCGAGCTGAAAAAATCACCAAGTCGTCGCGAACGTAGTTCACTGTCATCCCACCAGAACAGCAGCCAAAGGGTAAGGGGAATCCTCGAGTGCTTTGTGATGGTGTAGGCGTGCTTCACAGGAAAGGACGGAACAATGTGAACGATACAGTAGTGCTGAATCAAAGCTAGCAAATCGAACACATCAGAATGATATGGCATCAAGCGAGGAATTTACACTAAGTTGACGATAGTGAAGAGAATGTGAGAGAATTTCGTTGACCGTGTGCAAATTTTCAAAATCTAGTGAAGGAACTCCTGAGCTCAGCTGAGGGAAGCACATATATATTCCAACACTTTTCATACATTCTAGAAAGTACTGCAACATAAAGGGACGTAACTCTACTAGGGGCGCTCCCATGACCCTAATATCAACTATGAAAACTTTGCCACATTTTATCACACCATCGTGAACTGTATATACACTGTTTCGAACGTTCTTATTATCATTAATAAATTATCGCCTATATTGTATTATAGATATCTTTAGATTTTAATTATACCACAATATGGGATGAACAAGACGTGAGCAAGTGGGCTTACCATAAGCCATTCTATGGTCCTTATCAGGACTATGTGAATGATAACAAGACTCCACAGCAAGCGAACACTTCTCCTTTAGAGCTGCCATTTCTTCGTCATCACAACTACTCCCAACGTGAGACGATAAGTCTAGTGGTGCTCGGGGTTCTAAGAAGGAGGAGAAAGGAACTACGCATAAGCCAGTGATAGTCGTCGTACCAGAAATTGACGAAGTTCCATGGCAAACACCAAAGATACCGCAATAGTCAGCGAGGCACACTGCATCTGACAACACTATGGAGTGGAAGTAAGGAACTTAATCCTGGGCAAACTTTCGAAAAATTGAAGTCAGCGTAAAAATACACTACATGCTATAAAAGCCTGAGATCAGCTATTTCCCCCAGAACAGGTATTAGAAAAAAATGGAGTTTTTCAATGTGGAGAAAATGTCATATTTCGCAACTTATACCACTCGGAAGATCTATGAATTCCCAATGTATTCAATTCCCATATTTACATTCTAAATCAATGTAGGAAAATATGCATGTGGTCAACTGCATGTGTTGGTGACAATTTTGAAAATTCTTGTGAACGCTTCCACCCAAATTTCTATGCAAACTTTCGTAAGTGAGGAAACTCCTGAGATCGGCTGAAGAAAGCTAACATATATTCCAACACCGTTGCACATACGAGAGTAAGGATATTCACTTGGTGCATATGGTGAGTATACCCTATGAACAACTGCTACAAATATTTCAAACAAGTTCGACATTTTTCCAGACCGGACCACACGCGAATGAATTCACCTTCGTTCGCTATCTCCATATGCTTTGATTCCATATGTAAATCCAAGTAATGTTCGCTTTTGAAGGCTTTACCACACACACTACACTGCCACGTTGCAGAACCTATCAGCAACCTAATATACGCCCTTCTATACACAACAGCATACTTCTCTTAGGTCTATTCCAAACTTTAGCCTCTTCGTGAGCACTCCAAATGTCATTGCCCACGGAGAGCATGCATGTTGGCAGTGCCGGTGGGAGACTCGGCAACACGTCCCGGTCGAGAACCTTTCGTACCGTCCGACCTAACAACACCACCACCACGAGTTGGAAAAGGAGTGGTATGAGAATTCTTCACTATTTTCCTGATCAACTTCCCTACTCACTTATTCCTCTATTGCACCGATGTTGGAAAGTATTCGAGTAGCCTCTACGGTGAGGCATAGAACATCAACAAAAAAGGCAACTGCAGCCTGATCTCAGATCCAGTAATGAACTTTCACTCGTTTTTTCTGAAGTGCGGTAATACGCTGTGACAAATGCGATATTCGCGGTGATACACAGTAGTCGTGAAATATATTTTTCACTAGTGTTTTCCATATCACTAGGGTGAAACTCCAATTTATTGACAACACGAACACTTCACGTGTTTTCCAAGACGATAATAATGCTTCCGGATGGACAACAGCAACTTCAACTGTAGTATCAACACTCACGTCGAAGGCGTTTTACCTGTAGAGTGTGAGGGACGGCAAAGTAACGAGTATTTGGTAGTAAATTTTGCAGAAGTAAATACAGAAATTATCTAAAACTGTGCTACTTGTAACAACAGCAACACAAATGGTATTTTACTCCTCCGTGATGGTAACGACGATTTTCATCTCGGTACTTGCTCATTGTACAGCGCAGTTCTGTCGTCCCACTGGTGTATACCCGCATGCAACGCAAGTCGTAACATCACCATTGTTAATCAAGGAACCTAGGAAGAGGCAACAGCATACAACAAAGTGAGATTCAGACTGATCAACAGCCAGAAACCTGACATATTCTGTATCTATGTCGGTCAACCTCAAGATACTCACATTTCCGACAGCGCCACTGATCAGCTCTATTTCCATGACCACCAGCAACCTTCGTAGAGTTACCACCCACTACTGGACTTTTCTTCACGGCCTTACCAGAAGGCCCCCGATACGATGCTCTACTGAGCCCTCGTGTTTTCCACCTGACTCACAGAGGCAGCGTTGAAATATATGTTCGCTTTCCTCAGCTGAGCCCAGAAATTTCTTCACTAATCATAAAAGTGCGCAAAAATCGATGAAAATTTCCCCAAATTTCCTCAGAATTTCCACATTGTCACCAAAACACATAGAAAACCATATACATATTTTTCCAAACTGGAGAAATGAGTGAATAAATGCAATCACAGAGAAAATCATAATTCTGTACGTAGAACTTTTGTTCTTGTAAATACGAAGTGTACAATGGAGTTTCACCCGTAATGTGAAAAACATATTTCACGACTACTGCATAGTGAGAAAATCGGGTTTTTCACAGAGTTTTATGCCACTTCACGTTAAACGGGCGAAACTCCACTGATACAGAAAATTAAATTTTTCGAAGAAATTAATCTTGTTACAGAAATATTTTATAAAAATTTTCTTTTACTTCCTCCTCATAGAATAATTCACAATTAAAACTACACTATAGATATATGTATGTATGAATATTATATAAAATCATTGGAAAAAAAACTAAGTTAGAAAAACACACGTAGAGTCGTAAATGGTATTACTCTTTGCAAGGGTGAACGTCCTCATATCGGTGCTTCAGACACACTTTAACATGGCATTCAGGACACTGGTAAGAGTTGACTTCCGTCAAACGTTCTCGACAACCCTACGAACAGGGTATGTCCACCAACATGCATAAGTGTTAGTACCTCTACAGGGCATTTCTGCAGTCGCGGCTTGCTGTAGTCTTCCGGCTTACACGCTGATGAATTTGAATGCCGCTCGAACGCAGCGTTTTCCGTCTCGCCAGGCAACTGAAAAAAATTACCCAAATCCAAGAAAACGTGTACAACATAAAATTCCTCGGAAGAATTACAGCGATTACAGTGTGTGTTAATTTGATATGCAAATGTTACGAATTAGCATTAGTTATTAGAATTGATTTGAAGTATATCGCATAAACAATGTAAGCATTGCTATCTACATAGGATTTTCATATTGTCATCACCAACACACACAGCTGACCATATGCATATTTTCTCCCAGTACTAAAACCTAGTCATGTCCCTCTCAAGTCGCGTAAGAACCGATGATCATCGTCATAATCCAACTATAGCAACACTGATAGTTTATATCACATACTTCCACAGAAGGCGTCTCTCACCCTCCAAAAAATTTAAAAATTTATTCATCACAAGTAGTGAGGAAAATATATATTTTTCATCGCAAAATAAATATACTCACCAAGTGCACTGAAGACCTGCACAGTGGACAGATGATAACTTGTTGTTTATTATACGAGGCTGAATCGAGATAGGGACAGTTGTGTGCCTCGTACGTTCTATGGTCAAGGCAAAACCTGAGATAATACCAAGTCCATACCACTCCTCGAGTAGATCGTATTACTCTTTATGACATCGATCGCATTCAAAGGGGAGGAAATCCTGTTGGTGACAGTACGGCTCCGCACAGTGAGCTCCGAGATCTGCAAAATCTGTCATGTTAAAGTGAAGATACAAACTAACTATCAACGATTATTCACGGGTAAAAACACAACAAATGTGGAATTAGAGTAACTATACCGATAAATTGTGATAGAAACGCTCCGAATAATGTAACACGACGATTTACACAGTAAAGAAAATCATCACTCATACCTCCTCTTTAACTGACAGCGCACCTGATAAGATTGGAAAATATCCGAAAATTTTTGAAAATTCTCCTTAGTGTTTTTTTCACAATTCTACCCGAATTCACATACATAAACTCCTAAAATGAGCGATAAAACTTCCGAGCCGAGGATAACGAACATATACTCCTACACCAAAATTTCAGATGTTTCCGCAAGCCAACATTCATGTCATGTACGCTGTATATATTCTCATCATTCCATAAGACCATTCCTGTGTCGTCGCGGTGAAGTTTAATCTAGGTTTCTATATTCGCTCTATCCTCTCTGTTGCGTATCGCGTAATACTTCCAATCTCAGCCTCCGAATGCCCATGATGATGATGATGCTTCTTAGCCGTAATAGGACTGCGTCCCTCTGATGACGACACGTCACTAGGTGGCGTATGGGACTTCGGCGTTCCACCGATACTCGTATCTATTACTGTTGAACCTGTAAGCCGCGATGAAGTAAACAGCATTTCCCTTCCGCACCAACCTGGTGATGATTTCTTCTTGCCAGACCCCTTCAGCATCTTGCTAGACCAGCTTCTAAATGACTTCGGTATCGTCCGAGCTAAACGGCATTCAATGTAACAACAACAAAAGGTCAAATTCGGCGACAGGCCACACTACCTCCGGACAAAGAATGGTCCTTGCTATGCTGATCGACTGCTTCTGTCTCCTCAAGTCGATGCGGAGGGCACAACGGTAATGACGAAATACCCTCATCTGGATCACATCCATATCATACAGCTCATGAGAGCGCTACTAC